ACATGTGCCGGACGGTCTTCGTCTTGCCGCTGGCCAGGTACGTCTGGGTCTGGAAGATGGCCGCCTTGGGAACGATGAGACGAGAGGAACAATTCTCGATTTCCGCATAGATGGGAATAGCTTCTCCTGGAAGGAGAACACAAACGGAGTGGGTTCAGACTTCAGGAAGTTCTCGCCACAGAGCGGACGATGTTACCCACGGGTACCAATGACCAGTGTGACTTGAACACGCTGAGAAGCCCTGATGGACAGCAGGAAAATGAAAACGCACTTCGGGCAGGGCTGGATGGTATTTTTTAATCACTGCATTATTCACTTTTCTAATGTAGCAACATCACACGAGCGATCCTAAACCCGTGTAACTGACGAGTACTGTATAAATTTAGACACGCAAATAAGTGATTCAGTATTATGTTAGTACAAAAGATTAGGCTAGTCGGTGGCATGGTGGTTAAGGGGATGGATCCCACATGGCCAACTGAACAGTTTCAGACCCAGAAACAGCAGCTTAAAAAACACACCAGGCCCAAGGGCATCCATGCCCAGAATCCCAAGAGGAGGATGGAGGAGAAGGGATTCTAGCTTGGACATCCACCCTAGGGGATGATTTCTCACTCTCTCTCTCTGGCAAATATCTAAAATAAGGGACCAGCTGATGGCATAATGGTTATGTTGCCAGACTCCCACATTATTGACTATGGTTAGAGTCCTGGACCCGGCGGCTTAAAACTCACGCTGGGCACATGTGCGTGCGTGGCCACAATCCCGAGAAGAGAATGGAGGAGAGGGGATTGTGGCCATACCCTTGGGGGGTAATTTCTCACTTTCTGTCTGTCTCTGTCTCTCTGGTGGCTCATGAGCCCTATAGCAAAAATCTCTCTCGAAAAAATAATATATATTGGGAACCAGCAGTTAGTATAATGGCTATGTCGCTGGACTCCCACGTAGTAGGGGAAGGGATTGCGGAATGACCATCCCCCCTGGGGGGTGATTTCTCGCTTTCTGTCTGTCTCTGTCTGTCTGGCGAGCGCACGTGCCCTCTAGCGAAAAAAATCTCTCCCCCCCCAAAAAAAAAGAAAAAAAAAATATATATATACACACATACGTAAAATCAGTAATCCAATTGAAGCAAGAAATAGGAAGTGTTATGAGAACATAGTCACACATGTAAAATATTTTAGTATCAATTACTACAGTAAAAGTTTTACCATTAGTCACGTCTCCAACTACTCTCTACTTCATATGCACAAAACAAGACCGTTTAAAAACAACTTAAAGTAAGCTCTAACGTGCCCGGTTCCTGACTCGGACTTCACAAGCATTCTGCTTACCGTTACAGTATCCTTTTCTTTCTATTCTGGCACTCAGCGAGACGGGGCCCGACGTGAAAAACCAACAGCCAACCATTTTCTCTTGAGTTTTCAATACAGGGGTCTTGAAAATGTCAAATGATAAACGCAGTCTCAGTTAGATCACTCTAGGAGACTCACAGACCTTAAAATGACGCCTTTCTTTATACATGAGGTGTAAGGGACTATCGAGCAAACAGATTTCTCTTATTCTCACGTGATGCATTAGACAAAACGTATGTTTAAACACGAAGTGTTATATTCATGCCCTTTTCGGGACAACGAATGTGAATTTACAGATTTAAATTGGCACGGCATCCTCCTATTTTGCTCTAAAGCGCTGGTTTTAGGAAATACGGTACCACTCCATAAAAAAGCAATTAAGGGGCCAGCAGGTGCATGGTGGTTAAGGCACTGGATCCCACATGGTGGACTGTGGTTCAAATACTGGACCTGGCAGCTGGGTGCATGTATACGCATGGCCCAAATCCTAGGGGGAGAATGAAGGAGAAGGGATTGTGGCACGGCCATACCCATACTGTGGGTGATATTTCTTCCTTTCCCTTTCTCTCTTTGGCGAGCACATGAACCCTAAGGCAACAACTTTTAAAGAAAAAAGCAATCACACTGTATTAGTACCTATAACACAAGTATTTTATCTATTTATTTATTTATTTTGGAGAGGTTTTTGCTATAAGGGTACATGCGCTCACCAGAAAGACAGAGAGACAGAGAGACAGAAAGTAAGAAATTACCCCCCGGGTGGATGGCCACACTGCAATCCCTTCTCCTCCACTCTCCTCTTGGGATCTTGGGCACGCACGCACACGCGCCCGGCGTGAGTTTAAGTCACCTGGTGCGGGACTCGAACAGCGGACGACTACATGGGAGTCCAGTGGCATTGCCATTACGCCAACTGCTGGTACCCAAGTATTTGCTTTTAAGACTTTATGTATACATTAGGAGAAAGGAAGATCGACATAAGGCAATAATCAGCATGTCGTATTTGTTTTGGCATTTACTATGCAAAACTAACAGTTTGTTTTTTTGTTTTTTGTTTCTTCCCCTCCTTACTTCAAATGTATTATCAGGCAGAAATTATGTGTTTTTAACTTAGAATGGATTTGGGGTTTTGGGTAATACTACACCTACATGGCCTGTGTTAACAGGTCTGAAAGGGTGACTAAAAACACCAGCCCCACTATCGGATTCTGTTCCTTTTTCCATTTTCTACTATCAAGAGCAATGACAGATACAAAATTCTCGGTTTTCAAGTTGTACACATTAAAATCCTACTTTTCCCTCAGTTATAGAGAAAAATAATAAGATGGTATCCGTTTTAGCAAATTCAAAATCTTTTTTAAATCATGTGCCACAATGGTCATAAAGATTTTAAAAATATGGGGACCAGTAGATGGCACAATGGTTATGATGCTGGACTCCCACATAGTTGACCACAGTTCAAGTCCTGGGTCCAGCGCCCTGAAACTCACACCGGGTGTGTGTATGTGCATGCCCAAAATCCCGAGAGGACAAGGGACTGTGGCATGGCCACCCGCCCTGTGCTCCGTGGGGTGATTTCTCGCTTTCTGTCTCTCAGGTGAGCGCATGAGCCCGATAGCAAAAATCTCAAAAAAAAAAAAAAAAGATTTGAAAACTATGTAACCTTTCAATTCTAAGTAGTTTTTTTTTTTTTTAAATATAAATACAAGGCACTTACTAGCATCCCAAATTTTTAAGAGGGGTTTTAAGCAGGGGTTAAAGTCATATCTCTAAGTCAGGTCTGCCAGGTGCTATCTAATTTATGGTTTGGGCCCAAAATACCACTGCAATAGAGGCGTAATTGTTAACTCTTCACTATCTAAGGGTACAACTTTAAAAGTGAATTCATGGGACCAGCAGTTAGCGTAATGGCTATGTCGCTGGACTCCCATGTAGTCGACCGCGGTTCGAGTCCTGGATCCAGTGGCTTAAACTCACACGGGGCGCGTGTGCGTGCGTGCCCAAGATCCCGAGAGGAGAATGGAGGAGAAGGGATTGCGGCGTGCCATCTCCCTGGGGGGTGATTTCTCGCTTTCTATCTCTCTCTGTCTCTGTCTTCTGGGTGAGCGCACACGCCCTATAGTGAAAACCTCTCAAAAAAAAAAAAAGAAATGAATTCATTGCTTCTTCATGGGAAAATCAGAGTCTAGCAACGTTGCACTCCTTTCCCTGCATTCCCAACAGAAACCCCCAATACTAAAAATACATCTTTGTCACATCTGTCTCATGATGGAAAGTTTACATGAGACCAGTATATTTTCTACAAAGTAAAAAAAAAAAAAAAAGAATAAATAAAAAAATAAATCATTCATATTTAAATGAGAACCATTAGGTCCCAGTAGCTCCCATGAAAGTCCAAGGTATAATTTTATATTATTCCGATAATATGGGTTTAGATAAAAGCCTCGCGTTCATTAGCCCCCATCTTCCCTATTCTGTTGTTACGGACAGCCTGAGCCTTCCGATCAGTCTACAGTATTTCTGGGGATGATTAGAAGTTCCGTGCTTTCATGTGGCCAAATCTGTCACAAGGAAATGAGAAGTGAAAGGATCTCGGTGGCAGCTGCAGCCACTTACTTAATGTGAGAAAATGACGCGCAGAATAGGAGGATGCGTGGCAATAATGGCCCGAGCTTCAATAACGGGGCTGATGCCTGATTAATACTCTTCCATAATTACTGCCCCTCAACCTGCTATTAGGGGCGAGTTTAGAATACCACCGTCCCATGAATGAGGCCGCTCTGGTAAAAGTAACGACCCTCCGCGTGTGCATGGTTGTTATTAAGCCCGATGAATGCGTTTTCGAGTGTAACTTCTTGGCAAAAGCAGCCCTGGACGGCAGGGACATGATTAATAGAAGGCGCACACACACCATTTGTAATTTGCCCAACCTAGAATGGTATGTTTATATGAAAGCCTCTGGGTGAGCAGCCTGTTTTCGAAGCCACTGAGAAGTGACAGGACAGGCTCCCAGTGACAGTTCAGCAATAAAAATATCGTTGACGGGAGGGAAGAAGGAACGGAGGAAGGAGGGAGAGGAAAAAAGGAAGCGCTTACTAATAACGCTGGCGTGTTGACATCGATGTGGCTGACCACCTGGAGATCCCGCTTCACGGTCTGGGCAGGTGCCTTGGGTCGTTCCACAACAGCCCTCACGCAGTACTGAATACTTCCGTATTTCCCAGTAAACGAGGTGACCAGAGGTCTGAAATGAACCGAACACACAGACTGACTTTATTTTTCAGGGTTAAATAAAACCAAGCAAAGCGCAGTTTAAAATGGGACTTGGGGGCCAAGCAGGTGGCATGGTGGTTAAGGCACTAGACTCCCACATGGCCGACCATGGTCCCAGTCCCAGAGCTGGAGGCTTGAAAAAAAATCACACCAGGTGCGTGCGTGTGCGTGCCCAAAATCCCAAGAGGAGAATGGAAAAGGGACTGTGGCATTGCCATCCTTCTGGGGGGTGATTTCTCGCTTTCTCTCTCTCTCTCTCTCTCTCTCTCTCTGTCTCTCTCCAGTGAGCACAGGTGCCCTATGGCCAAAACATGGGAGGCGGGGGGCAGGGAATCAGACCTGTTGACCGCAGAGAGAAAGCAGGTGACATATCCAAGGTACCTATGTGGGTCTGAGAGGCAGTGAAACCCTGACTTCCATACGTGAGGGAGGACACACTGCAGAGGTGTCACAAGGTTAGCGTCACTTACTCAGATGGAAGCTGGAAACGAAATGGAAATTCATGTTTTCCAGGCTGTAGTAAAATGATGTCTTCACCTATAAAAGAGATTACATTTTAACGAAGGTGATAATTAGATCAAGAGTTTTTCCCAATCTAAACCATACTGTTTACAGGTTTTCCTGGTTATAAAATGCAATATATTCTAAAAGGTCATTAAACTGATTTAGAAGTGAAGTATGAATAGGCTTTTACCACATAACACACACACACACACACACACACACACAAAATATATATGCAATTGGGCCAGCAGATAATGTGCTGTTTGGGGCACTGGACTCCCACATGACCAACTTCGGTTCGAGTCCCAGACCTGACAGCTTGCTTTCTCACTGTCCCTCTCTCTCGGGTCAAAATAATAATAATAATAAAATTAAATAACTATAAAAATAATATATATATGTAATTATGTCAAACAGACAAATTATGCAAATACAAAGGTCCCTGCTCCTCCATGGGTATGCTCTCTAAGACCCTGAGTTGATGCCTAACACAATGAGTACCAGACCCTGCATGTATTTTCCCCACGTTTATATATAACCATAATAAAGTTTAATGTACAAGTTAGGAGCAAGTGGTGAACAAAAACTAGAAACAGAAGAGTGATAACAGTATAGTATGATAGAAGTTAAGTGAATGTGGGGTCCAGCGGGTGGTGTGGTGGTTGAAGGTGGCTGGAATCCCACTCGGCTGACTGTGGTTCAAATCCTGGAACCAGTGGTTTGAAAATCATGCCAGGTGTGTGTGCATGTGAGCGCATGCATGTGTGCCCAAAACCCTGAGAGGAGAACGAGGAAAGGAATTGCTGTGTGACCATCCCCCCATGGATGATTTCTCACTTTCCTTCTCTGCATCTCTCTGTCTCTGTGCAGCAAATGCCCTATGGCAAAAACCTAAAAAAAAAAAAAAAAAGATTGTGATGTGTGTGTGTGTGTGTCTGTGTGTCCCGTGAAGTATCTGACTGCACAATATTCACCTACTGGGTCATCAGAAAAGTCATGACACACTTTAGCACAGAAAAACACGTCATAACTTTTCTGATGACTCAAAATTTGGGGAACCACGGCTGACCAAAGGTGACTGAGACCAAAGAAAGAGAAACCATGAAAAAGGGGGAAGGACTGTAATTACCATAGGATGCTAAAGCCCGGAGCTCTAATATCCATGTATGCTCACACACACACACAAACACACACACACACACACACACTGCATGCTCTCTCTCACACACACTACATGATCACACACACACACACTACATGCTCACACACACACATGCTCTCACACACACACTCTGCATGCTCACTACATGCTCACACACACACACATGCTCTCACACACACACTGCATGCTCACACACTGCATGCTCTCACACACACTATGCTCACACACACTGCATGCTCATACACTGCATGCTCATACACACTCTGCATGCTCACACACACTCTGTATGCTCTCACACACACAATGCTCACACACTGCATGCTCTCAAACACATTGCATGCTCACACACACACTGCATGCTCACACACACTGCATGCTCTCACACACACACCATGCTCACACATACTCTGCATGCTCACACATACTCTGCATGCTTACACACACTACATGCTCTCACACACTGCATGCACACACACTCTGCATGCTTATACATACTCTGCATGCTCACACATACTCTGCATGCTTACACACACTACATGCTCACACACTGCATGTACACACACACTCTGCATGCTCACACACACCCACACTGCATGCTCACACACACATGCGTATATATGTACATACACACAATTGCTTATCCCACTGTATCACACTAACAGGAGATGCTAATATTAAATTGGACCTTAACCAAAGAGAAGAGGTATTTTGGGTATATCACTAAAGTCACACTACACATCTGTCGGGCAGAGATGGAAAAGGAAGTTACACATTTATGAATATTGTGAACGGTGCATCGTACCAAACAGCCAAGCCAACAAGACCAGTTATGAAGCAGGAGTCGTGTCTCTACCTTTGAACTCTACTACGTAAGAGGGTTTCTCTGCAGTTAAGCGGGGCTACAGAGAGGGCTTCATCAAACATGGCGGTGGCCTCTGCCCCGTCCCCTGCTCTGGATCACCAGCTGTTTTATTTCATGCAGGAGTTGATCACTGACAGTGGGCATGCCATGCTGCAGCCCACGCCAGGCCAGAGGCACCACTGGTACCTCTGATGAAGGTCCAGGAACAGATGTTGAATTCAGATCCAAAGTAGCCTCCGTGCCTTTCAGTGAGGTTGAGTGGCTTAAGAAACTCAGAAACTCAGGGTCAGGAGGTGGCGTGGTGGTTAAGGCGCTGGACTCCCCACGTGGCCAACCATGGTTCAAGTCCCAGACCTGGGGGTTTGAAAAACCACACTGGGCATGTGTGCATGCGTGCCTAGAATCCTGAGTGGAGAAGGGATTGTGCTGGCAAGGTCATTGCTTGGGGAGGGTGGTAAATTCTTACTTTTCCTCTGTCTCTCTCTCTCTTCTGAGTGCACGTGCCCTATGGCAAAAACCTTAAAAAAAAAAGGAACTTAGAAACTTTCCCTTTATTTCACCATCTGATCTGAGACTAAATTCTCTCAGTATGAGCAGGCTAATAAAATGAAAACAGGGCAGTATTGTCAAAGAACTTGGTCAAGCTAGGCCTGGTTTTCTGCTACTAAAATGAAGGTCTCTATTAGCCATTCGTGTAAACGGTTTTTTTTTAGGGATAGTAATCACTAATAAAGTGTACCCTTTTTTTCTTAAATACTAGAGTTTTAGAGCTTAAACAATTCAATTCACATTCAACTCTATACTTTTAGGAAATAGGAACACACAGGGCTGGCAGGTGGTGTGGTGGTCGCTATACTTTTAGAAAATAGGAACACATAGGGCTGGCAGGTGGTGTGGTGGTTGGTTAGAGGCGCTGGACTCCCACATGGCTAACCTTGGTTCGAGCTCTGGACCTGGTGGCTTGCTTTCTCACTTTCTCTCTCTGGTCAAATTAAAAATAAAAATTTAAAAAACAATAATAAATAAAGTTAAATAATTTAAATAAAGTTTAAATAATTCTTTAAAAAAGGAACATGTTATTGGCATATTAAGTCTTTTCAATCTATTCTCAATTTCTAATGTTGTAATATTGGGTGGTCGGAAACATCATGATGCATTTTTGTGTGGAAAAACATAGAAAAATACACCATGATGTTTCCAACAACCCGAGAAGTTGGAGGGGCAGAAAAGTAATATAGCTGCCACTTCATTTGAATAGAACTACTTCACAGGTGAGTGACAAGGGGGAAAAAATAAAACACAAACAAGGCCCGGGGACAAGAGATCATGAGAGATGACAGGGATGGGGGTGCAGGGGTGCTGCAGAGCCAGCATATCCCCCTCAGCAGTGTCACGGTGGGGCTGCAATATGGAAAGTCAGGGAAGTGTCTCAATGTCATGGCTGGCAAGTGCAGGACTCCAGGCTAGGCCAGCGATCCGGAGAGAGCTGGGCTAACGTTCCCATTGTAATCATTCAATGAGGGAACATGACCAAGTACTTACAAATGTTTCAAAATGTGGATTTCAACTGAGTTCAAAACGTACAGTGCTTCGTGACCAGCAGTTAGCGTAATGGCTATGTTGCTGGACTCCCATGTAGTTGGCCATGGTTTGAGTCCTGGACGCGGTGGCTTAAAAACTCATGCTGGGCACATGTGCATGCATGCCCAAAATCCTGAGAGGCGATTGGAGGAGGAGGGATTATGGCATAGCCATCTCCCCCTGGGGGGTGATTTCCTGCTTTCTGTCTCTGGAGAATCCACATATCTGATAGCAAAAATCTCTTAAAAAAAATTAAGGGACCAGCAGTTAGTGTAATGGCTATGTCACTGGACTCCCATGTGGACTCCCATTGACTGCGGTTCGAGTCCCAGACCTGGTGGCTTAAATTCAAGCTGGGTGAATGTGCATGCATGCCCAAGATCCCGAGAGGAGAGCGAAGGAGAAGGGATTGCGGCATGGCCATCCCCCCAGGGCAGAGAGGGAGTGATTTCTCACTTTCTGTCTCTCTGTCTCTCTCTGACTTTCTGGTGAGTGTACGCGCCCTATAGCAAAACCCTCTCAAAAAAAAAAAAAAATAGCGACAGATGCTGTCATTGTCGTCAGCTGACAGTCTTTGTTGCTGTCTTAAATGGAATATGTGTATCTTTCTTTGTTTGCTTTTGAGTTTCCGGTGGCCTCTGCCCCGTCCCCTGCTCTGGGTCACCAGCTGTTTTATTTCATGCAGGAGTTGATCACTGACAGTGGGCATGCCATGCTGCAGCCCACGCCAGGCCAGAGGCACCACTGGTACCTCTGATGAAGGTCCAGGAACAGATGTTGAATTCAGATCCAAAGTAGCCTCCGTGCCTTTCAGTGAGGTTGAGTGGCTTAAGAAACTCAGAAACTCAGGGTCAGGAGGTGGCGTGGTGGTTAAGGCGCTGGACTCCCCACGTGGCCAACCATGGTTCAAGTCCCAGACCTGGGGGTTTGAAAAACCACACTGGGCATGTGTGCATGCGTGCCTAGAATCCTGAGTGGAGAAGGGATTGTGCTGGCAAGGTCATTGCTTGGGGAGGGTGGTAAATTCTTACTTTTCCTCTGTCTCTCTCTCTCTTCTGAGTGCACGTGCCCTATGGCAAAAACCTTAAAAAAAAAAGGAACTTAGAAACTTTCCCTTTATTTCACCATCTGATCTGAGACTAAATTCTCTCAGTATGAGCAGGCTAATAAAATGAAAACAGGGCAGTATTGTCAAAGAACTTGGTCAAGCTAGGCCTGGTTTTCTGCTACTAAAATGAAGGTCTCTATTAGCCATTCGTGTAAACGGTTTTTTTTTAGGGATAGTAATCACTAATAAAGTGTACCCTTTTTTTCTTAAATACTAGAGTTTTAGAGCTTAAACAATTCAATTCACATTCAACGCTATACTTTTAGAAAATAGGAACACATAGGGCTGGCAGGTGGTGTGGTGGTTGGTTAGAGGCGCTG